CCCCTTGACATTCCCCCAACCTCCCCTAACCCCCCGTGTCTTGTGTCCATTTCTTCTTATATTCCTAAGAATTTCTTATTCCCAAATCTCACCTCACCATACTTCCCTTCTCACGCAGATTGAAAGTAGGCTCCTCTTTCACTAAGGAAATTAGGGGAGTCGGGGTCTGTGCTATAGGAGATCAGAGTGGGTGAGGTTGAGAAGGGCTCTCACTCCCTGGATTTTTCTGGGGGCAAACAGAACTGTGTCTCATGCAGCCACTCGCCCTCCTGGTAGAAGTGTCCAGCGTCATGGCTGCTCGAAGTGCCCAGACAACAGAGTAGAAGTTACCAAAGACATGGGGCAGCCTTTGTGCAAGCCCCTTAAACATTCCAGACACTTCCATGGAGCTGCATGAGGCAGAGCCAGGCCAGGCCTTTCCTGAACCTATTCTCTGTGTCCTTCCCCTCCTCCCAGCTCTGCTGGTCAAAGTCAGGCTCATCCTTAAAGAAAGGCAGACTTAAGCAACAAGAGATCTCTGCTCTTCCCCATCAAAATGGCAAAGATTAAAAAACAAAGAAACAAAAACAAAAAAAACCAGTGCTGGCAAGTGTGCAGCGAGATAGGAGCATCCTTATATTGCTGGTGGGAGTGTGATGGGTCCATAGGTATCCAAAGCCATAGCAATTGTTCACACCCTTTTCCCCAGCAATTCTGCTCCTCTGAGTCTGCCCTGAGGGAGTACCCAGATGCTGGCACAGGCTTCATGTACAAAAATGCTCACTTGGGCATTATTCATAGTAGCTACACATTTGGAAACTACCAAAACATCCATCCGATGAGACTGAAGAGGTTACACAGATCCAAAGAACAGAATATTGAACAGCCATTCTATGTCATGTTTTTGAAGAATACTTAACAACATAGGAAAAAAACTCTTGACACATGAAATGCAAAAAGAGAGTGCTGCCAAATTGTATCCATACAATGATTTCACTGTTGTTAAACATAGGTAAGCCTTCTGGAAGATTATACTAAAATGTTTACAGTGGTTTCTCTGGATTACACATGGTTATGATTCTCTTCTTTACCCTTTTCAGTATTTCCCGAGTTTTCTTTTAGGAGCTTATTTTTAAATTGGAAAAAATATATTAAAAATAAAAAGTCTTATCATTGTCCAGGGCTCAGATTCAATTACACTATTTCCTGGAAACCCTCACCATGGATGTGACAAGCACTTCAAAGATGTGGCCATTAATGTGACAAGTTCCTGTAACTGTCAGATCTGGTCATTGAACCTTCGCACTTTCTCGCGTGGCACTCATCTCAGTCTGTCTTGCTTCAGAGTTACTTAACGTGCCTGCCCGCTGCCCTCTCCCCAGCCTGTCCTCCAGATGGGGACCAGAAGGGCAAGGACAGTCTTTTTTTTTTTTTAATCTTGATTTTCTAGGGCTGAGTACAGTGAATGTTTATTGAATTAGTTGAATGCGATCAATCAGATTGTCTAGAAAATAAGAAATTCTAATTATATTCAGAAGATCTAGGTAAGTGGAGCTCATATTCTAAGATAAAAAGGTTGTCAAGATTAGGATCAAGACTTCTACTTCTGACCAAGGCCCTTAAGAAAGGGCTCAGCCAGTCTTTGGGCATCACACCAACAATGGTCCGTCCTTATACACACTTGCTGCCTCCCTCAGTCTCTGGGCCACACCCTTATCCTTCAAACCCCAGGCCTTCACACCTGTTCCCTTTGCATGGAAGGTTTGTCCCCTTCTAGCTGGCCAGTTCCTTGTTATCCGTCTCCTGCTTCCCTGGAATCCCCAGAAAGCCAGCCATGTCTGTCTATCATGACTGGTCCTAGCATCTGGCACAGAGCTTGGCACAACCATGAGCTGACTGAATGAAAGGAGATAGATGACATGGAAAGAAAGGGAATTTTCCCATTTCCCTCCTCCAGATCCCAGAGCTGATCCAACTCCCTGCATTCAAGCTGCTGATGTGGCATCAAAATTTTAGAGCCAGCCAAGGAGCAGAGAGGCTAAGAGGTGTCCAGGGCATACAGCTTTTTTGTGGCAGGGTGGGGTCGGTGCCCAGCCTCCTGACTCCTAGCACAGTGCTCCAAAAAGTGAACACTAGGTGGGAGGGATGGAAGCAATCCCAGGCTAGGCTCTGTTTTCCCAGTGCCCAACTCCTTTCCAGGGAATGAGACTTAATGTGGTAGGAGAAAGCAAATAAAGTCTTTCATGCCTCTATTTACCACCAGGACAGGGGCCAAGACATGCTGCCTGTTTGGATCTGGCTCAGTGCAAGGACAGTCACCCCTCGCATCTTTACATTGCATTGTTATTTCCAAAGCACGTTCACTTAAGTTCTCTTACTTTAGCCTCACAGAAATCCTGTGAGGACAGGCAAGCAGCTGATTAACCCACGTAACAAATGAGAAACAAGAGGCCCAGAGATGTGTATCAACTTGCCCAAGGCCACACAGCTGATCAGTGGAAGAGCCAGGCCTGGAAGACAGGCCTCCTGATTCCCAGTCCAGAACTCTTTCAGTATTTCCAACACCCAACCATGACACTCAAATCTTTGTTTGTTTCTTATGGCACATGTTAGTCGTGGCACTATAGTGTAATTAGTGACATGAAAAATGGCTGAGGGAGGAGCGGATGGGGTGATGGGTGTGGCCCCCCATGACTCGGGCTCTCGCCAGGTCCTGGTTTCCATCACCCCCATCACATGCCTGGATCTCGTGGTCTGAATCTCATGGCTCACGCTCCTTTCCTAGCCACCCTGCTCTGATCCTGACACTGATAAAGAGCGAAGCAGATCCTGTCTTCTCCCTCCATGTACAGCCCCTGCAAAGGAGGCAAGACAGGAATGGGAGCGATCCGGGAGTGTTTATTGAAAAAAATCAGAACCCAGGATTACACGTACTGCAGAGGCAAGTGCAATCACTTCTT